GAGTATTAGCTTATATTTCATTTCTGCTGGGTTCCTAATGCAACTCCCCCCCCAAGGGAGCCAATTCTTAAATTGCTACTTGTCTCTTTTACTTAGAAACAAAGATGGAAAATCTGAGCTGGACTTTGATACAGATCAATATGATATCCTGGTATCAGACTTTGGTGCTGAAGAAAAAGAGATTGGTGGTGTTACCTCTGAGTTGCCAGAAACAGAGTATTCCTTACGGGTGAGTATCTACAGTCCTTCAGCCAGGCGATGGTGGCATATACCTTTAATCCCAGCACTTGGGAGGCAGAGGCAGATGGATCTCTGTCAGTTGGAGACCACCCTGACCTACAAGAGCTAGTTCCAGGACAGCCTCCAAAGCTACGCAGGTAAACCCTGTCTCAAAAAACAAACAAAAAAATAGTCCTTCAACAGTGGGACGGACTTGAAAACATCCTAGAACAGAGTTGAAGTGCAGGTGTGTAGAGATGATACTCTGTTGGAATTCCTTTTCACCATCTACACTGAAACAGTTTATTTAATATAGCTACTTACGTCTCAAAATGGGAGTTACTGTATTATGAAAAAGTATAGAAGCTAAGCCAAATATTTGCCAAGCCTAGGCTCAGCTGGCTAGTAATGTTTTGGTGAGCTATCTGTAGAATTGGCAATATGCATGACAACTTTCCTTTCACAAATCCATAGGCGTTTTGTAGTATTCTGTATATGAAGCCCCGGATGAAGATTTTTCTGCGGCAAAAGAAGGTGACTACCCAGATGATTGCTAAGAGCCTTGCCGATGTGGAGCATGATGTATATAAGTCTCCCTTCACAGTATCCTTACATGCTGCTGACTTCTTCACTCTGGGGTAAATCTCTCTATTGGTACACAGCCAAATCCATGCCTTGCACCAATTCAAAACTGAGTTTTAAAACACTACCCTTGAAGGTAGAATTTTGTAAGTGTCCTGCACCAGTTTTATCAGAAACTGACTGCAGACTATTAAATAAAAGTCATGTGAATTTGAAGATCGAGGCTCAGTAGATTTTAAGATCTAATGTTGATTTACGTATTTATTTATCTCAAGACAGGGCCTACCACTGTATTCCATACTGGCCTGAAACTCATTGTGTAGCACAGGCCAGCCTTGAACTTGAGGTGATCTTCCAGCCTCAATCTCCTGAGTGCTAAGATTACAATTATATGCTGCCACACCTGGCTCCACACCTGGCTTTGAAATCCTTTTATTAGATATATTTATTTGTAAATCCTCAGGGTATGCCAGTGAGCAGCCAGATTTGAGTATTGTATCCATAGATATTCCCATTACATTTGACTAAAAATTTTAAAATATTTATTTATTCATATACATACATACATACATACATACATACAAATTTTAAAATATTTATTTATTCATATACATACATACATACATGAGGGCACCAGATCTCAATTACAGGTGATTGTGAGCCACCATGTGGTTGCTGGGAATTGAACTCAGGACCTCTGGAAGAGCAGTCAGTGCTCTTAAGCACTGATCCGTCTCTTCAGCCCCACATTTGATTAAAATTTTTAGTTGAAGTTGTTTGTCTTACAGCTTATGTTGTACTTGGTCCAGATTTAGGCTTGGATGTGAATTAGTGGAAATTAAAGGTGTTTGTGGGAGGAGATGAATCACGAACAAGCTCAACATGGATTTCCTGGAACCTTTTCATAATGACAGGCACCCAGAAGAGCACTTGCTTATTTTCTATACTTCATTGCACTGTAAGTAGATTTCAGATACTAGGGACAATCTTGAGATGCACTATGCTAGCTAACCGCCTTCATTGGTGGTGGTTTGAGGGGGAAAAAACTAGTCTTCAGAAGACCGAGAACTCAAGTATTTATGAACACTTCCTTTTTATTTTACAGTAGTCAAGAATACAACTCTTGGCCCTATAGACATGTTCTCTGCATTTTTAAAGTCAAAGATAAGATTTTTACTTCTTTTTTTTAACTGCCATGCCATGATTAGAAATTGCTTATTTAAAATAAACTATGTAGTTATTACTGACAGTGGATTTTTTTCTCCTTTTTGGAAACATATCTTCTCTACTAGGAAATTTGCTTAAACAAGCTCAACTTAGAGACAGAGCTAGCAAGTGAGAAAATTGTTTATGACTTCACCTTATGTGGGTTAGCATGTAGTGCTGTGCATTTAGCAGAGTCCCTCTAACTGCATGTTTTCCAGCTTCTGTTTTCCGATATGTCCCTTTCCTGAGTATGGCTTCTTACCGTTTTGGGTTTCTATCAGGCTGACTTCAATGATGTATTCTATAGTTATCTCAGCTCCGCTTCCTATTAATCCAGTTACCTTCTCATACTACAGTTCTAGTCAAACAGAGTCACTATCGGCATGACTAAAATGAAACCCCTAATTCTGGAATTATTTTCCAGAGATGAGTGCAGAACAAGGTAATTGGTACTGATTGATTTATTCCTCTTTACTCCTCTCTGTGCTCTTCATACAGATTTTTATGCATTTCCTCCCACAATGTACCTCCAGTCCATTAAAAGTGTACAGCACAAAATATTTGGCTATCACTATCTTTAAACTGTCAATTTATGGTGTGAGACTTTTGGATGATTTGGGAAAGCTTTGCCTTACTTCCTTTTTTTTGTTGTTGCTGTTTTGGAATAAGGTCCTATTTGAAGTTTGTCTTGAGTTCCTAGAGCTTAGAAACTTTATATGTTCTGAATCAAATGTTAGAGTACTAAGTTTACCAATTGTATTACGTTTCCATCATTACTGACCCATTTGTCCTATGGTACTGATGTACATAGCTTGTCATTTACAGAGACTGAAAGTTTTTTTTTTAATTTTTGTGACACATAGTAAGATAAACTACGGAAAGATTTATTTAAGCTCATGGTTTCAGAGATTCAGTCCATTGTGCAAGAAAGAGATGGTGGAGCAGAGTAACTAGCTCACATTGTGACAGCCAAAAAAGTAGAGCAAGCAGTGGTGGCGCACACCTTTAATCCCAGCACTCAGCAGGCAGAGGCAGGCGGATCTCTGTGAGTTCGAGGCCAGCCTGGTCTACAGAGTGAGTTCCAGAACAGCCAGGAATGTTTCACAGAGAAACCCTGTCTTGAAAAAGCAAAAAAGTAGGGCAAGACATTGCTTGCTTTTTACATGCCTTCTAGAAAGTTCATGTTGATTCACATGCAGTGACATTGGCTGGGTTTTGGTTTTTGTAATTTAAACATTTTTTTTTCCTCCCGGAGCCTCTGGAGTTTGTCTCCTTAATGATTTTCTTCTCAGAATAAGCAGGTGAAAATCACGTTTGGATTCTCTTGCAAGTATCATAACCAGTTTGGAGTAATGATGTATCATAACAACCGCCTTATTAAGGCCTTTGAGAAGGTGGGCTGCCAGTTAAAGGTGAGTGGTTAATATTGCTTTGTCATAGATGCCTGCAAAGAATGGGAAGAGAATCTTAAATTTATGGAAAGATAAGACACATTAATGGTTTTCAGACCCTTCTCATGACATTTGTTAGATTATGACACTGAAATTCTGGATCAATATGTGAGGTGTCCTATGTGGAAAAAACTCATTTCTCAGGTCCTAACTCAGCAGCTAGATATCTGATTATAAGGAATAGAGTTCAGTATACCAGTCACACCGTGTGTATCAACTTATTAACATGTAAATAACTCTAATTATTATCTTGTGGAGACAATAAAGGTATATTGGAAGGTTCATAAAATTTAGTGGTTAAAAAAATTCAAGGTTTGTGCCCTGGGTTTTCTATTTATAAGCTATAACCCTGGATAAATCAAGAAATTCCTTTGAGGTTCAATTTCTATGCTAGTAAATTAGAAACAGTTTTCTTTTTCTTCCTTTCAATTTGTAATTTAAACATTTTTTTTCCTCCCGGAGCCTCTGGAGTTTGTCTCCTTAATGATTTTCTTCTCAGAATAAGCAGGTGAAAATCACGTTTGGATTCTCTTGCAAGTATCATAACCAGTTTGGAGTAATGATGTATCTTAACAACCGCCTTATTAAGGCCTTTGAGATATTAAGGGCTAAAAGATATTAAGTGTGATAAATGATATGAAATATTTCATAAGCCAAACTACACAAATGTTACAATTATTTTTGAAGATTTAGTGATCATTAAACGTACTGATTTCCACAAGTGACCACTTTGTTCCTGTTTTGAAAATTAGATGGCTGAGGCACAGTGAATAACACACTACTATGTGTGACATAGTAGGGCAGTAATAAAATCCCGGGGATAATTAACTGTGAGATCTTGGTTTTCCCTGTTACATCATCTTACATCCAGTTGTTAAACAACTCCTGGTTATGTGTCAGTTTAATTACTCATTGATTCTCTAGTAAAGAGTAAAGCAAGCTTTAACCCCCCCCCAAATCTCTTGCACTTCCCCTCTGACTCTAGTAGTTTCCTTGGTGGCCTATATATGTATGGAAATGCCTATGTTATAAGATTCGGTGTGGTGATTATATCATACCTCTAATTTTTAAATAAGGTTTCATTTCACTTCTGCAGAACCTTATTACATAATCTTGCTTTTTTAGCAATGTAAAATCCTTTATTCCAGTGAACCTCTTGGCAACCCTAGAATATAAAACACATGAAAATGGAGTTGTGTGGATGAAGTATAGATAGCTACTGGAGCTGAGGGGTTCTAGGGATCTGTGAATCATTGTTTGAACAATCTGAGAGACAGAAAGGGGGCAGATCCGGATGGGATGGGAGGTGGAGAAGAATGAAAGAACTGTGAAGAGTAGAGGGAGGGGAAACTGTGATTGGGGCATATTATATGAAAAAAGTCTATTTCCCACAAATGAAAAGAAAAAGAAAAGAAAATCTTTGCTCTAGAACTTGCCTGGAACCAGTCTTTTAAAGTGTATTCTATGTGTTCCTCTACATCTTCATGGCCTTTCCTTACCCATGAATACTGTGTAACCTTTTCCCATTATTTTTGGAATCAAAAGGAAATGCCTCTAGGCCTTCAATAGTAATGTGTTGAAATTAACATTTTCTTCTAAGCCAACTTGTGGAGAAGGTGTGGGAGTAATTGGAGTCGTTGAGTGCAATTTCCTAAAACCTGCCTACAACAAACAAGACTTTGAGTACACCAAGGAATACCGGTGAGTCACTCTCAACCTGAGATGTTTCAGATAAATTGCTTAGATACCATCCTGCTCTCTGAAGTTTCCAAACCACCACTAAAAGCCAGCTGGAGAAGTTAACAGAGAATGATGGCAAATATAGTTTCCAAGATTAGAGATGAGCTTTCTCTTTTCTACTTTACCTTTAGAAATTACAGAATATAGAAATATTTTGAGAAAAGATTTCTGGTCAAATGAAGGACCTTGTCTTTCATCTTGAAGCAAATGAATACAGTTATTGAGCACATTTTGGGGAGAGGAATTGAAATTTGTCCCATAAATTTTCTTGAAGCAAATGAAATGTTAACTTTTGGAAATGTTGGAACATCAAGGTGGATATGTGTGCACTCACAAAAGCATCTAGGGAAGATGCATAGTTCAGAATCAGAAGGGAACTTGACACCTACCAATAGGGATGTTTTAGGAATTGAAGAAAGAATTTGTTAAAATCAACTTGAAAATACGTTCGGGGTTAGGATACAACTCAGTAATAGAATGCTAGCTTAGCATGCATGTAACCCTAGATTTGATACCTCGTATATGTTAGGTAAAGGACATAGGATAAAAAACTTAGAACCCTTGATTTTTATGAACAAATGCGGTATATGAAAATATGAAACAAATACACATAAAATAATTAAGGTGTTTTTGTTTGTTTGTTTGTTTGTTGTTTTTTAAGACAGGATTTCTTATTGTAACAGCTCTGTTTGTCCTGGCACTCACTCTGTAGACCAGGCTGGCCTCAAACTCAGAGATCCACCTGCCTCTGCCTCCCTAGTGCTAGAATTAAACTACCTGCTACCACTACCTGGCTGAGGACAACTGTTAAATATTACTAAAGAAAATCAAAAAAAGGCTTCACAAAACAGACCATATTTAGCTTAAACTTGAATGAAAAGTTCTAGGTGAATTAATGATAAAAAGTATTCTAAGCCAGTGGTTCATCAACATGATGCTGCAATCCTTTAATACAGTTCCTCATGTTGTGGTGACCCCCAACCATAAAAATGATTTTGTTGATACATCATAACTGTAATTTTGCTACTGTTATGAATCATAATGTGCATGTTTTTGGAGACAGTTTGTCAAAAGGGTTGCATCCCCAGGGTGAGAATTACTGTTCTATGCAAAGTACAGTGTAGGTAATGGTACAGAAAGGTAGGGGGTATTCTTGGGATATGAAGAAAGAGACGACATGAGAACATTTGGTATCATTCTATTTAAAATCCCAGCAGTATCTTTTTCTGAGAGTGGGAGGAAAAATCATTTCTCAGAAATGTTTTTTGTGCTTTAGGCTACAACAAAGTTAATTAAATGTTCCTTCATTTATATGAGACCATAAGAACTTTAGATATAGGGTTTGACAAAGAAATAGGGATTTGAGTGGCAATTCCAAATTAATTTCAACATAATTGGGTTTTAGTCACTCAGGCTGATCAGTGGTTATGGCAATGGTGTGTTCTGGATCCAAATAAATTAATCCTTTAAAGTGAATCTGACCCATAATGAAGACCTTGACCAAGACTTGTCTACTAAATGTGAAAGTTTAGAAATAACATTGGTTTAATGGAACCAAATATTCTTTCTTTTGAGTCAAAGTGATGAATTTATGATAATTACCTAAATAATATTTATGAAATCCAAATGTTAGATATTAAAAGGTTTCAACAGCTTTCCATATTATTGTTGCCAATATATTACCATAAAAAGTCTATTTTTGGCTACATTAGACCTTTGTTTTTTGATGAATCTGAGAGCTAAAATAAAGGCATTCTAGAAACATGTAGAATTTCTACTTAAGTAATTTAATAGTTACTGTATGCTTATTTTTATTAAAAACAGAATGACAATACTAACATACATAGAGTCTTGTGCATAATAAATTTGCTAATTATTACCCAGCTTGGGTGTCAATGCCATCTCCTTTTAAAATATTTATTTTTGTTTTATGTGTATGGGCATTTTTCCTGTGTGTGCATGTGTGTACCACATGTGTGCCTGGTGCTGGGTGAAAGACAGAAGATGACATCAAGTCCCCTGGAACTTAAGTTACAGATAGTTGTGAGCTGCTGTATGTGTGCTGAGAACTGAACCTAGGTCTTTCTCCAAGAACAGCAACACATTTAACCAGTTTCATCTATTTAGCCCCACTGTTTTCAAAGACAAGATGTTATATAGTTCATGCTTGCCGCAAACTCACTATGCAACTGAAGGTAGTTTTGAATTTTTGTACTTCCTGCCCACATCTCACAAGTGCTATGATGATAAGAATGAATCACCATGCCCTATGCCTTTATGCTGAGGACTGAACTCGGGTCCTTGCATAAGCAAGCACAAACTCACTCGACTACTGAGCTAGATCCCCAGGCCTATTGCCCTTTATATAAACTTCATACAAAGTGAGAAAGAGTTTAGATAAAAACATGGGAATTTGAAACCAGATACTAATCCCAACACCCAGAGTCTATGGCCATGCAATTGTGAATTCAAGGCTAGCCTGGGCTACATAATGAGTTCTTGGGCAGCCTCATCTACATAGCAAGACCCTCCATTCCCTTTGTCCCTTTCAAAAATGGGAATTTGGGGGAATAAGAGAACATTGTTTGCTATCACAAATTCATCCTGTCAGTATTACAGATTCAAAAGTGCAAATGATAAAAGCAGCTATCATACTACTTAGAATATCGACAACAGCTTTGCGCAGTGGCAGTATCGTAGCCAATGAGGTTTATCCGAGGCACGATTATTGCTAATAGAATATCGACGAAGAAATAATCTGTAATACATCACTTTGAACAATGTGGATATTAGATTTTAGCTATAAATATCATGGTTCAGGCTTAAACATTTCTAGACTCAACTTTGCCTTAAAAAAGCAACCAAAGCATTTAACTGAGCAAGCCATAAACACATAACACAATGACTAGGTTTTGTAGAATCTTCCAAAGAATTTCAAACATAGTTGCTTACCTTAAGGACTTTGCATTCCGTTTGTAATAATAGATTATCACACATCTGAAAACAACTAAGTAGCCGTGAAATGGCTCATAGACCCCTTTGGTTCTATACAGGGAAAGTGCTCTGATGATACAGATAAGGAAAGTTTTAGGTATAGATGATATGACTTAAGATACGCATTAAATGGATCTCTGAGTTCAAGGCCAGCCTGATCCACAGAGCAAGTTCCAGGACAGACAAGACTACATAGAGAAACCTTGTCTCAAAAAAAGCTAACAAACAAAAGATGTATTCCTTAAAAGATAGAAGATTGGAGTTGTAGAGGGATGGCTTTGTGGTTAAGAGCACTGGCTGCTCTTCCAGATGACCCCGATTCAATTCCCAGCACCCACAGGATGGCTCATAACTGTCTGTAACTCCAGCTCCCAGGGATCCAACAACTACTTCTTTTCTTGCCTCCATGGGCACAAGGCGCACATGTGGTATACAGGCATGCCTGCAGAGAAAACACCCACAGGTATACATAAATACTACAAACTTAAAGGATACGGGATGTTGAAAAGGAAGGGAATGCTGGTGTACAGTTGTGGCATGAGCTACTGTGGTGGCAGGAACTCTGAGGGGCAAATGGAGATAAGGTGATGTGCTGAAGTGAAGAAAATCAAACAAAATGGCTACTGGAGGGCCAGATCCTAAAGCAGAGATTTACAAATATTTTTGGAGAAGGCCAGTGAGAAATATTTGGGTCTTTGTAGATCACATAGTCTCTTACCCAACTTCTCAATTCTGTCATAGTATGAAAGTATATATTGACAGTAAGTAAAGGAGTGAGTATTGCACCAGTACAATTTTGTTCATAAAACAGGCAGTGAGGAAGATTTACCTTCCAGGCTATTGTTGGCACACCCTTTTCTTAGAACCCCTATTTCTGAACTATGTGCCAAGTTATATCTGATGGTTTTAGAGGATCCAGATGATAATTTACATTTTAGGCAAGAACTTCTGTCTACAAACAGCAGAAATCATCTTCTATTGTTGTAATAATTGACCATAAATTTAGTGGCTTAGTACAACACTAATTGACTGTATTAGTGTTCTGTAGGTTACACATCTGACTCAGATCTCACTGGGCAAAAATCAAGGTGTTGGCAGGCTGTCTTCCTTTCTGGAGACTCTAGGGGAGAATCCATTTCCTTTTCTTTTCCAATTTTAGAGACTGCCAGCATTCCTTGGCCCAAGGCCCTCTTCTCCAACTTCAAAGTCAGCAGTGATGAGTTGCATCCTCCTCATATTGCATCATTCCAGTAACTTGCTTCCATAATCACATTGACTCCACTGATTCTGACTCCTCTGGCTCACTCTTCCACACTTGAAGGAAGTGCTTGCATTGGACCTTTAGAATACTTTTCTTACTTTAAGGTTAGCTGATGAGTAACAGCAACTCTCTTACTGTGTATAACCTTAGATATTCACAGATTTTAGGGATTGGGACCTAGAAATATTTGAAAGACTATTATTTTATTTGTCAGTCTGTCCTCTGGTGCATCAACAATCAAAAAGTGATTGCCCTATCCATTCCCAATATCATCCAAAGTTTCCGAGTCTAAAGTCTTAGCTAAGGGTCTTCATCTCAGAAGTCCCATATTTCATATCTTAATCACATTTTTCTGAGTCTGGTGTATATGGGGATAATATTTTTCTCTACCTGTGTCATACTCTCTCTCTCTTTTGCTCATACTTTACTGCTAAAATATAATAGCAGGAGATGCACAGGACACCAGTTATATAAAAGTTCTGTGTCAAATGAGGCTTAAACTGAAAAGAAAAAGAGTTACAGGTAGCCAGGCATTGGTGGCTCACGCCTTTAATTCCAGCACTCGGGAGGCAGAGACAGGCAGATCTCTGTAAGTTCTAGGCCAGGACAATCTCCAAAGCAATACAGAGAAACCCTGTCTTGGAAAACCAAAAAAAAGAAAAAGGGAAAGAAAGAAAGAAAGAAAGAAAGAAAGAAAGAAAGAAAGAAAGAAAGAAAGAAAACAGTTACAGTTACCAAGCAATTTCATAAATGCAGTTATGCAAATTCCATTAAATATCAAAGACCAGGCATAATTTTCTGAGGCTTACAACACTCTCCCTATCACCGAAGCGCCTTCTGGGCTATGGTTCAACTCTTAAAATTACCTGTTCATGAAGATTAGTATTTTTTACAGCAGAGTAATTTCACCAGATTATCTTCACTAGAGCGTTTTTAAATATTTATTTTATTTTTTGTGATGACCATATAATTTTCTTTCCCCCTTTCCTGTCTCCAAACCCTCCCATATACCTCTCCTTGCTCTCTTTCAAATTCATGACTTATTTTTTCAGTAGTCGTTATATACACATATGTATGTGCGTATACTTACATAGTCCTAATTACAGCCTGCTCAGTGTGTGTAACGTTACTTATATGCATATATTTGTAAAAGTTAAGTATGAGTCTTTCGTTGTATATTCCCCTCCATTTATTATGTAATCAGAGCTGAAAGTGTTTGTGCTCCTGCCATCTCAAAAACCTTGTAGGCCTTCCATGGATGTGATGAATATTCATTCCACTTAACAAAGTCTCTAGACTGATCTTCCCTAGATAATCTTATTTCTCTTCTTGGCCTCAGCCGAGATGTTTGTGGAGGTCCATGAGTCACATGCTTAATAGTCCCAAAGAGCCTTGTATGTGACTGGGTATTTTGACCTTTTGATCTGACTGAGATATTAGCTAATGACAGTCCAACCCTACGCTTCATTCACAGAGCTCACAATCCTAACAATCTGTACATTTTGATATCCTTTATTGTCAAATTCTGGGTCCTTTCCTATTATCAGTTCTTTTCATTTATCTTTTCTCTCCTGCATTTTATATGACCAGCCAGAGGACACAGCTTCAGCAGTTTATCTAGAGAGCTCCTTGGCCAAACGTACAAATTCATCATTTCCAAGCTGTGCTATCCATGTAACTACAGGACATGTTTCTGCTAAGCTTTCTGTGACTACGTAGCTGTAATCATATTTCAGATTTTCCAGTAATGTGTTGACTCATTTCCCCTGAGCCTTGGTTAGTAGTGTCTTTACTATCTGTATTTCTAACTCTACTTACAATGATTTGGGCAGTCTTTAAGGCAATCTCTAGCTTCTTCTCTACCATGCTTCTCCACTTCCTTTGGAGCCCTCACCAGTTTAGTTAACATCCCTCCATATATCTATTAACAGTCTGCTCAGTGCAGTTTAGACTCTGGCATGTTTCTCAAACCTTAGGCAAATTTCTTTATTTTCCTTTTATTCTGTTTTTAAACAGGGTCTTTTGTAGCCTCAGGATCACTGTATAGCCAAAGATGACCTTGAACTCCTGATCCTCCGAAATATCCCAGGTTGCCAATTTTCACTTTCAAAGCAATTTTCTCATTTTACGTTTTTTTTTAAATAGTAGTACTGTTTCTAGGCACCACAATCTGCCATATTCTTTTTTATTGTTTTAAAAACTGTTTATGTGTATGTGCACACATGTGAGCATATGCAGGCTTAGGACATGAAACTTGATGGCAAGCTTTACCCACTGAACTGTCTCAAGGGACCACTATTCTTTTTGTCACATCATATTGCATCATATATTTATGAATTTGGGTTGAATCCATTTTCATTGAAAGTAAGGGAAGATGTCCGTCATTTGGCAATACATTTTATAGCCTCTCTCATTTTCCTACATTGCTGTGTTTTATGTTTAGCTGATGTTTTGCAATGGAATGTTTAAATTCTTTTCTTGTTTCTTTTCTAGCTATTTCCTTGTGGTTATCAGAGAGACTACATGTAAGATGCCTCTGTCTCTTTTCAGTTTAGGCCTCTACAGTGCCTATGGTGGACCACAGGTGGTGCCACACACATCCTTTAGGTTTTATTTCCATCTCTTAAATTTTCTTCCTTATTGTTCCTCAATTTTAGTAATTTCTTTAAGCTCCCAGATTCTTCTGTCTGTCCTGCCTTTGAATCCATCAAGTGAATTATCTGTTTTAGCTATTCTACTCAGTTCTGCATTTTGTTTTTGTTTTGATTGATTGATTGATTGATTTAGGTTTTTCTGTCCTCTTATTGCCATTTCCATTTTGTTCAAAAAACTCTTTGAACTTGACTTCCTTCACACCTTCTTTGGGCTTTTGGAGCATCTTTAAGCCAGATCTTTTCCTGAGACTTTATTTGGATTTCATTTTTCTTTGATCATACCATATTTTTTGTGTTTCTTTGTATTCACTGTGATCTCTATAACACAATAATTCTGGAAATGAGATTTCATACCCTTTCCTAGGATTTGCTTTGTTTATTTTGTTTATTTGGTGTCAGTGGTGTGGTTTGCTATAAGCTGTCTCTGTACCAGGGACCAGGTATAGTGTAATCTTAAAGTTTTCTCACTTGTTTTCTGAACCTGAATTTTCCTCTGGAAATTTATAGTGATGTTCTAATTTTCTATATGTGCATATATGTGTGGCTATGTGTATATATATGCATCAATAAGTGCATGTATCTATGTGTGTTTGTGCTTTTGAGTGTATTTGTTTTTAACATGTGACTCCCCAAACAGGAAAACATGTGAAAACGAACTTCTATCATTTTGAATCTCCTGGACATCATTTTAATGAGAGGAGAAACTTGTAATCATGGAGAACGTAACAGAAAAGGCCACTTGCCTCTTGTGTGATCAAAAATAATAGCAATGAGAGCACACTATCCTTGAAGGATGGCAACCTTTTTTCCTATGATGGTTCTTATCTGTGGCTTGTGGTACACTTGCAGGATTCTCTGTTATGGTACTAGAGGTGGTGAATGCATAGCTATTACTCTGCTAAGAACAGAGATGGACCAAAATTAACCACAGCTTACCATCTTAGTGTTCCAAAATACTGATCGTTAAATATAAACTGGATTAGATTCAGGCTCCTGTAGCAACTGTGCAGGAAAATGTTGAAGGAACATTTTTCATGTTAGTTCTATTTCTCTGTGGTCAGGCAGATTCTTCCAGTGCAGTTATTATCTAAGCATGTCTCAAACTTACCTTCCCAGAAGGTCATCAAATTGTCTTTATCAAGTAGGCCTTGAGGAGGAGACAAAGCATATGCCGGTGTATGACTTGAGGGAAGGCTATTAACAGAGAGCTGGAAGTACTGGTAATAGTAAAAGGATGAGTTAATACAGGAACTTGTCTATGATTATTTTAATCTCATGTATGTAGTGAGAATCTAATTTAAAATGAGTAAGGTGGTGGTAAGGAAGTGTTATACTGAAGAAAATATCTGCAAAGACACTGAATAATGATCCAGAGGGTGAAGAGAGGTTTGAAATTTCTCAAGTTTATAGTGTTCCAGGTATGTGTACATTTGCATTACATTGTAATCCTGGGGGATAAAACTGAATAGGAATTATTTGTTAGACAAGAAGGCAAACTCAGATTCAGCTTCTAATGATAGTGTTGTAGAAAAATGTTTAAGGAACATTTCCATGTAAGTGCTGTGCTGCTGTGATTATTGTTTGGATGCAGAGGAACTATAATGACAGATAAAGCTAATATTTGGTTGATTTCTAATAGATTAGGTTTTGTGTATTAGCCTCTAATGTTTCTATTTGATCCTGAATTATGTCTCTATCATCATCTGAAAATTAAATAATTCATCAGTATTTATCTCTGTCGTCATTCTGTCATAGTCTATAATAACAATGACAACATACTCGTTGAATGATTCTATAAGCCTTGGAAAAATTCTAGACCATTATGCTTTTTTGGATTTTACAACCATTTTAACTTCATGACCAAAGTGACTATCAATCATTATGATATTAACATTATGGTATGTTTTTTCTGTTATAGTTTTCATTTTTGTCTTATTATAGGACTTCTCAAAGGCAGTTGAATCCTATGTTAGTTTTTAAAGTTGTAGGTATTCATAATTATGCTAACTATTCTAAATTGCTGGATTCTGTTCAATGGGAGCTTCTGAGAGATAAAATATTACTCAAGTGCTGAACCTTGACATATTCCTTGCATTTTCTTTCAGGTCGATAATAAATGCTCTTACCCAGAAGCTCAATGCCTATTGGAAGGAAAAAACATCTCAAGAGAATTTTGACACCATACTTACATCCAGGCCAGTACCATAAGTAATAGAATATAGACTATGAAAACATTAAGGGTAATGTCCTTTCATCAAATAGAAGAAACAAGGGTAAAATAGTGTTTTCACACCAGGGATGTTAGTTAGCTAGCAATAAGAAAGCACAGGTACTAATTACAACATTTTACCTCTTCATTCTGATTTAAGACTTATGTGGTTTGTATCATAAATGTGAAAGGTTTAATGCTGTCAGTTTAGGAGAGACTAATATAGTGTGTGGGGGGGTTTATGGCCATTTACATCGGACACTCATTGCTGGAAAGCCTGGACCGGCTTCTTGATAGTTGAGTGCACTTTGGTAAGTGAGTGACTTCACTTCTTTGTATTGAATTAGGCTCCATGATTTTTGAGCCATTAGAGTAGGTGTTCAGATATGTTAACAAACCTGCTTTCTTTTTATTCTTGCTAAATTTTATTGGGATTGAACTGGTATTTTGGAGCAGAAATAGAGAATGAAACATATTAGAGAAACAGTAGAGGTTACTGGATCTATGCCTTAGTAGGTAAGGGGACAAAGATCAGCCCAGAAGGCAAGCTACAGTATCAGCATACATACACTTAGCTATAAAATCACCAAACTAAATATTAAAGTGGTAGGATTACACTGCCTCTCTCATATGAGGGGAGGCATCTATTTTTTTAAGTAGAAACTACAAGTTTGTACTCCCACCAGGAACGGAGAAGTGTTCCCTTTACTCCGCATCCTCTCCAGCATAAGCTGTTATTGTTATTTTTGATCTTTGCCTTTCTAATGTGTATAAGATAAAATGTCAAATTAATTTTGTTTTGCATTTCTCTGATGGCTAAGGATATTGAACATTTCTTTAAGTGTTTCTCTAGCAGCAGAATTTTAATAATAGAGATTATTTATTATTTACTTAAATTCCAGACATTGCTCTTACTTCCTTTCATGTAATAATTTATTCAATGACCCACAAAACTCTCAGTACACGGATATTATTTCTTTGCAGATATAAAGCCCAGTACACCAAGAACTTTCATCCTTTGCACAGGACTAAACACGTAGAACACAGTAGATCTAGAGATAAGGTTCAAATTAAGCAACCAGATCTTCTGGAGGGATATAGCAAGGACAAAATAGTACAGCTCCTTCAATTTCCTATTTACTACAAACAGAATTTCTAAAGCCCTTCTTTCTAACTAGGTTGAAGGATCTGTTTGTAGCTCTTAGCAGAGAGTTGTTGCCTTTTAGTGTTCTTGTCCTCATGAATAATACAGGCATCTTTCTGCAAGACATTCTTTGTGCAAATACATGTAAAACCTAAGCTAACACGACCGACCCTTCCTCTCCTCTTCCACTTCTGCTGAAATTGCTCTCTAGGGGCTCTGTCTCTGTAGCTGTGTGGGAATAACAGACAGCAGAGGTCAGACCTGAGCTTAGAGCTTCAAGGTTGCAAGTCCGGAGCAACCTAGAGCAATAGGGAGGGCCAAAAGTCTGGGAAAACTTGACTAAATAAATTTTTAAAGGAGAGGTCATTGTATTTAAGTGGCACAAGTACCTTTTATTTTCTTCTTTATATATTTCTCTATTTTCTAATTTTCCATAATGGGATATGTTTACTTTCATAAGTAGTAATAAAAAGGCAGGATTTAAAACAATGAAAAATTACTGAAAGAAGTCATAAAAGAGCCACAGTGCTTTATTGAATAGTCCAGAAGAGCAGTAGAATACAACATACTCAAAACCCACCCTGGTAGTAAAATGGGCCTGAGGTGCCTCTTTCCCCCTTGTATCTTTTCATCAGCCTTTTTTCTCTCCAATACAACTTTTCACACTGTCTATACCTTCTCTCACATACATGCTACTCCTTTCCATGGGGAATGAATTCACTTTGATCTACAAGTGATTGAGTTGCACACTTCTGGAACTGATGAGGGTTGATATGCATTTGAAGAGTTCAACTCTGAATGAGTTTATCCTAATAATTTCAACCAGTTATTGGAGCCATCATTTGTAGTTAGGAAATTTAACCAAATTATATTGCCTTTTATGATTTATGTTGGGAATGTCAACCTAATACTGTGATCACAGCATTATAAACACATGGGTTGGATGTGAGGCTGGAGCTCAAACTTGGGCCTTGTGCTTGCTAGGCAAGCTGTATGCTGACATAGACCCCTAAACTCAAAGGACTGTTTTTGAAAGGAAAAAGAGAAATCAGAAGCATGCAGGGAAGTAGGGGAGAGATTTTGATGACAATGCTTCTGTGCCTCCTATAAATAAATTTAAAATTTGTTCATGATTAGACAAGCAAATAAAACAATTTGATGGGTTTTATTTCTTTATAGAAATGTTTCTCAAGTTAATAAATCTTAGAGGTAAAATTTTCCTATTTTCTCAAAAAAGAATTCTAGAATAACTATTAGTAACCTCTATAAATAATCATAGATTAATATTTTTGTGTCCATATCTGGTATAGTTATCTATGTTGCTCAAAATATACACATTTCAGATGTCAAGATGATAAGATTTCTTGCCTATTTTCCACATAATTTTTTTCCCTTTTCAGGACATACCTGTTAAATGTAGGCCAAAGCACAAAGCTAGGATCTACATAATAACATTTCTGTTTTTCCTCTCTCAGGAAGATTCCTGACCAGACATGGGTACAGTGCGATGAATGTCTTAAGTGGAGGAAACTTCCTGGAAAGGTGGATCCATGCACATTACCTGCAAGATGGTTTTGTTACTATAATCCCCATCCAAAATACAGGTAAGGTTCTAGGACTCATTATTCTTTCCATAACTCCAGATTTGTCATCCTGTTTCACAGAATCACTTCATAGTAAATCTACCTTCTTTAGCCTGGTATTCAAGCACCCTATGCTGACTGGGCCCCATTCTAACTATTTAACTTTATTTTTCACTACACTTTACCAAAATCCCTTACATGTGCCATGATTAGTCTCTCCTCTGTGACTTTGATAGTGTCCATTTTCTTGATTGAAATGACTTTCTGTATCTCATGTTCCTATTCGAATTTCAATGATTTTTCTCTGACCTCCTGCACCATTTGATTCTTGACATTTGTTTATTTGCAATTTTTAAAAAAATTATTTATTTATTTTAGAAACAATCTTATTTCACATATAAATCCCAGTTCCCTCTCCCTCCCATCCTTCCATGCCCCCCACCGATCTCTCCATCCTACCCCCATCCACTCCCCAGGGAGGGTGAAGCCCTGCATGGTGGAATCATCAAAGGCTGTTACATCATTTGGGACAGGGCCTAGGACCTCCTCCATGTATCTGGGCTGAGAGAGTGTCCTTCCATGGGGAATGGGCTCCCAAAATCTATTTGTTCAGATGCCATGTTTTTATTAGGGGGGTATTTTTCAGGTGTTCATTTTATTTTGATTCCACAAGAGCTTTTAAATTCTTTAAGACTAAGTTTCTTCCATTCCACATTGAGTCAATAGCTTTCATATGCCTCTTCTGTAGAATCAATGTAAATAGAATTTGTTGCACATTCAATATTGTTTTTTGCTTGTTTGTGCTCCTAATGTGCCATATGTTCCTTGTAGCAGCCAACATCTAAACAGTGCCTGACATAACTCAGTAGTTATGTGCATAACTCGCTTTTGTAGTGCGAATGGGATCCTAACTGTATACTGTTACCCAGATGTTGAGCTGCTCTATCATTAAGCTACCAAGGGAAGTACAGAATAAAAGCTAGGACCATATTTTATCTCTGAAAGATGATCTCCTCTCTGTTCTACAGGAGATGCTCTGTTCCGGAAGAACAAGAACGCATTGATGAAGACTTATACCTGAGCAAGGCTAAGCAACAGTTGAGTATACATGAGATGGTGCTCCACATCCTAGAGTGAAGAAATCGATCTCCCTATGATAAGACAAGGATTTGAGAAGGGAGCTCCCTTTGGAGGGCTCTGTGCTTGCCTTCCTCACCTGTTTGCTCTGCCATTTCTTCCTCGTAA